TATAGGGGAAGGAACAAGAGATCAATGGATGTAGCATCAAAAAGTCCTAGCAACTGATCAGATGTGAGGATTGAGGGAAATACAAGTCTAAGATTTTGAGCGTAGGGGGCTTCAAAAGGTCATAGCATAGGTCAATCATTTGATTGGTATCAATAGAAATAAAGAAATCAGATGACATTTAAACACAGGTCTTCCTTACACCAAGGCCAGCTTTCTATCTACCATGCCATGCCACCTCTTCAATGATAGCATAATCACCATCATTTATCAGTAAAGAAAACTGAGTCTCGGGGATGATGCCATTTTTAGAGAACACATAGCTAATACCTGTCGTTAGTAGGATTTGAACAACACAATGACAAAACAGACATTTATGAAATGTCTTCTACATGCCAGGCATTCCCTTTTTTTACATCTGGTCAGTTCCCTTTATAATATACTCAAGAGCTTCTCATAACTTTTTGGATTTAGCTGTTTCCAATTACTGAATGAGAAAGATGACTATTATCTGCCCAACCTAGACTCATTAATTAAAGCTTGATAAGTGTTTTGAGGTATGAACATGAAAGGTGCAAAATATCTATTTCTGTCTTCAGTCTTAAGGGGTAATTTTTTTAATCAGTGTGTAGTAGCAAACATCACATACGCACATTTTTTTTCCTGCTGCGTACATTTTAAAAAGTGATCTACCTATTCATAATCCATTCATTATATTATTTATATGTTGCCCAGCTTCAAAAATAGTAGTTTCCAATTCTGAATAAATAATTTCCTTGCTCTCAAAACTTCAATTGTTCTCTATTGCCATTTGGATAGAATACAAATTCTTTAGTGTGTTAGTTAAGGCTTCCATTCTGCCTCCTATCTTTTGCTCCAACTTTTACAACACTCTTTCATGTACTTCATGTTCCATCAAATGAAACTGTTCATCTTTACCTTAATTTTTTTTCCTGGAGTACCTTTTCTGAATCTCTCTTATGACCCTATCACATTCTGTATTCTGTTCTACCGACCTGTTCACATTGTATTTCCAGCATAGCTAAGTAGACTGTAGGCTCCTTGAGCACATGGACTACTTTCATGAAGTAGCACTCAGCGTTTTCAACTTCTGTATGAAAAAGATAATAGTTATGTGCCTTCTTTAAGTCTTATGTGTTTTTGTTTATGCACATAGTAGTAAATATCTTAAAAGTTTGTCAAATGAGATCAAATCACTTTGAATCTAATGAGTAGTCAACTTCTTGGCACTTCCTACACTTTGGCTTCTGATTTTGGTATAAGTCACTGCTTTAACAATGTATCTTTTTGATTATCTCAAACCCTCAGGTTTCAGTAGAATGTAGGTATCCAATAACAGGAAACTAATTTCCTAGAAGAGTGACTACTATATTTCCACTAAAGATTCTAGGGGTAGCCCAGAGGGTTTTGGGAGTAGTTTTGTAAAGTTTTGACCTTTCATTGTTCTTCCTGTCCTCCCTCCATCATGATTATTGGTAGATATCAATTAGTTTGCCAGACTTAATTAGCCTGTAGAAAGTAATGTTTACTAAGATGGTATAGCAGGAACACGATATAAAATATCCCCCTATTGCTTGCTCCAGGAGAAAAGTGGTTCAAGCTTAGATAACATATATGGAAAAGGTGATAACTCTCAACTTTTGCTTGCTGGAAGTCCAGTCCTTCCTTCCATAGAGTACCCATGAAGATCCTCTTAATCATTATGATAGCTTTCTAACAGACATCTTGTAGAGTCTTAAAGCAGTTTTTTCTTAGTGTATCTAATTTGGTCTCAGATCCCAATACAGAAACAGAGTCAGACATTCTGGGGAAACTGCTAGGATTAGAATTTTAAAAGTACAAATCATATGATCCTTTGAAGTTTATAAGGTTCTTTTTAGGCTAAGATGGAGGGTAGGAAAGGAAGATGAAGACTGAGGCCAGGGGAAGACTGAGGACGGGTTTTTCTCCCATAACCGAAAGTAATTTCTTCTCAGGGAAGGGTCTCTCTTCTCTCTGCTGCCAGACATTCAAATCTCTAGCTCACTGGATTTACACAAACTATTGTTAGAGCAGGACAAAGTCCCTCAACCAAGGAAAGGACTACAACTTCCTGCCTCAACTAGTGAAGAAGGGGCAGATGTCCAGGCATTCTTTATACTTACTGAATAATCTGGACAAATTCTGTTATCTAATGTGTTAGATATACCTCTTAGGTCTGTGTCATCTCTATTGCATTCATTGACCACTGTAATGCATCTACCCTCAATCAAATCATTTCTGCTTTCCCTTATACAGTTTCTCTGAGCAGTTTACTTCTTCAAATCTCTGCTTCTCAAGTCTGGTTCCTTGTTTTCTCCTTGAAAGTTCATCCTTAGCTATATATTGATTAACTCTTACATAGTTTTGAAATGAATGTTTCAAAAACTCACATGTACATTGAATTGGTAAGTATCTTAGCCAGAAAGAGGCATGATACACATGCATTTGAGAGAAGAGGGTTTTCTTTACAGGGATCTTTTGTTCCAAGTTAATTCAATCCTAGGAAGTTTATAAGCAGTAATCCCCATCCTTGGAATATGAGATTCTATGCAGGTTTTGTTTTAATTTTAACCTTGTCCCATTCTGTCTCTCATAAATGAAAATATTGTAGGTCAAATCAAATGAACTGTAATAGCATAATTGCAGTAATAACCTTTTATATTCTTGTCTCTGATCTTCAGTGAAGGTTAAGTGGCTCACCTGATAGTACCCACTAGGTAAATATAAAGCAAAATGTGCATCTTCTTTAAATGAATAGTGCATTTAAGGACCAGCTATATGGTTGGCCCATGAGGCCATGGGTTTGTCTTTGGCCTATATATGCTATTTAATTAAAGTGATGGCAAATTAGATCCAAAAGGGTTAGAACTGGAGATGTCAGTTGATGGTCTGGAACTGAGATAGGATATGGGGCCAGCATGGTTTCAGAAGGGCATTGTTAGAATATCAGGGATTAATGCTTGCTGAATAATTTATAGAATTTAAGTGGTGGATAGGTAGGCAGGAGCCATGATCAAAATGATTGGCAGAGTTGAAAGTAAAGAGAGAGTTGGTCATAGATAGGGCCAATCTTACTTGGTCAGTGAATTAACTCCAGGACAGGAGGAGTCAGTGATGTAGAAACTAGGGACAGGAAATGAGATAACGCCAGAGAGATTCCCATTGGTGTTTAATTCAACAGGAATTTGCAACTAACCATGAATAGCCTTTCATTTGTGATGATTTAACCAGTCTCTACTAGGCAGTGGGACATTTAGATTTTCACTGGCCTTGGCCTTTTTACAAACATCCTCATGTCTCCAAATCTCTATTTTAGCAGCCTTGAAGCTTTCCTTATCATGTACTGAATGTATATATTAGATTATTTATAAATTATGTATATGAACAAGCATATTACTTATATACTTTATGGAACAGAAATATATAAATTAAAAAGGATGATCTAAAGCTAAAATAACATTTTATCCTATAATCTAGGATATAGACTATGGTATAATTTACCATAATGTAAAAACGATTCTTAGCTAATAATATATACAAAAACAGGTGGCATGTGGCATAGTTTGCCGACCTCTGCAAGAGTCAAGAGAAAGCCACTAGGTTTTATTGAGGAGAGGAGGAAAATGGTCAAACATATGCTTTAGAAAAACTGCTTTGGCAGCTATTGGAGGCTAGTTTGGAGAAAGGAAACAATAAGGCAATGAGGTCAATTAGGAAGCTCTTGTAAAAGGTGATGGGTACATGACCTCTAGTAGTGGATATGTGTGTTAGTGAGAAAGGGAAAGATGTGAAAGACATTGCAGAGGTAGAAAGGACAAATCCCCCTTCTTAGTACAGACACTGCCAAAGCAGCAAAGACAAATGATAATATTCTTAAGCAGCTCAAGGAGACCCTTTGCCTCAGAAACCTACTTTAATAGGCAAAATAAAAAAAATATATTAAGACCAAGCCTCAAGACCCATTCACTTATTAAACAAATACTGCTGGGAAACCCTTTTCCTTGCCACTATCCCATATCATTTAATTTTCATAGATTCAGCTTAATAATGGAGCTTGCCAGAAAGATAATGAAGTAGAAAGTCACAGAAGTGTTTCTTGGTAGGAAGGTTTAGATTGAATAATTGCACACATTTTCAGCAAGCTCTCACTCTCATTATAGGCAAAGACTGATCCAAGGCAAACATTTACATATTAAGAATTGCTAGCAAGGAAAAGATTTATTCAGGCCACCAGAATCTTTCATTAGTAAATCTTCCCAAGAAAGAGATTTCTATCCAATCAGCAGTTTTTAGAGGAAGTTCAACTGTTTCGGAATAGGAGTGACATCACAGCTGACTTCTTTTTACTGAAATTCCTGTTAATAGATATTCCCTCCCCTGCCCCACTTCCACAGCTGTGTTCTTCTAAAGGTTTTTATGGTGTTAATTTGAACAACATGGCCAGTACATCGGAGTTGAGTTCTCTGCAGCAGAGTTTGAATGCTTGGCAATTTGGTTCGAGAAAGGACCTCAGTGTCTGGTATCTTATCCTTTCAGGTGAGACTTTTACCTCCAGAAATCTGGATCCTCCCTCTACAGAGCTTAAGATTCTACTACTATTTTTAGCAGCTACACGATACAATTTGCTTATGAGGCTGTGACCAGAAAAAGCCCCAATACCTGTTTCATATGAGCTGCTATCAAGTCAAGCCTCCAACAGCCTAAGTGCAAAATTTTACATTTATCCCTATAACATTTTGTCTTGTTGGTTTCATCATTAAATTCTAGACTGTCAAGATAATTTCAAGTCTTGACTCTTTCATTGATCATATTAGCTATCTGCTGCAGCTTTATGTCATTTTTAAAGATGATGAGCATGCCATTTGTGTTTTTATCCGAGTTATTGATTTTTAAAAGGTAGACAATAGAGGGCCAAGGTATAGCCCTGTGGCATAGCAACACATACCTTTCTCCATTGTTCCATTAAGCAAATTGCCTATTTATTCAGATGTGAATTCAGTGGACGCTATTGTTCTTTGGAACACCATGTCTCCCTCTTATCTGCAGGAAATCATAAGTCATTTTGTTAAATGTCTTACTAAAATCACTAAATACTCTATCTATGGCATTATCTTTGTCTATTAGTCTTATAACCCAATTTTGAGGAGGAAATGAGGTTATTTGGTATCCCTTGCTATTAGAGAAGTCGTGCTGGATCTGAGTGGTTAACATATTCCTTTTAAGTTTGTACACATCTGTTAAATAATCAATTTTGCCATTTGAATGAGGGTTGACATAAAGATTTGTCAATGTGCAGTTTCCTTTTGGAAACTGGGTTAATATATACTTGTGTTTTCAAATTCTTTTTGTATGTGTTCAGTTACCCATGATTTTTCAAAGATTATCAACAATAATGACTTAGTCTCTCTGTCTCTCTCTTTGTCTCTCTCTCTCTCTCTTTCTCTCATTATATGGAATTTAATGTATTTGGTCTTGGTAACATGAACCCTTATAAAGCATCTCTCATTAAAGATTCCTTTTTTGTTTTTGTCAAGGGTCACACAGGGGACTATGATCTCTGTAGTAGTAGATCTTAGAAAATAGGTCTCAGAGGTGCTGTTGAATATAAAACTATTTGTGGCATTGTGACACAGGATAGTCACTGACTTTTGAGGGATAGCTTTATCTGAAGACCCTTAGCAGCTCAAAATATAGCATATTGGGTGAAATTATGTCTAGAAATATACACCAGGTGGAAATGGGAACCCAGACGCTCCAAGCAGGGGATGCCATCCAGGTAGCTGGTAGAGCTGCAAGATTTTATCACAAACAGATCTAACCTAGCTACATTGTTCTCCTTCCTGATGATCTGTCAACACAGCAAGCTCTGAAGAATAAGAACAAGTTTTTGACTGGCAGTCCAGAAACCTGGGCTAACTTTGCTTTATAAGCTAACTATAGACAACTTCAGAGGCTAAGACAAATTGATGGCTTCATGAGCATCATTGACTACAGCTACTGCTTTCCTGCCTCAAAAGCCAATGATCTTGACTTCCTGATTGTGTTAATTTTTCTCACACACCTGGAGTTCATTTTTCTTTTTATGATGCTTACTTTGTTATGAAAACTGGCCCTCACATTTTCCTGTCTTACCTTCTAAACTAGAAATATTCTCTGTATCTTCATTTATCAAATGAGCTGGTTGAATTCATGTTACTCCTAATGTCAGTTTCTAATCCTATGGTGTTAATATTAGTTTATTTTCATTAACTGTAACCTCAAGAATCATCATCTTTTTTGAGGAAATATCTCAAAAGTCTAAAATGATGATTTATCCAAATAACAAATATGGTATCTTAGCGGTAATAGACATTCATGCCACAATAAATGAGCTTAATTGTATAACTCTTTTTACTAACAGTGGCCTGAGAGGATATTAGTTTGAGGAGGTCTAGGAGCTCTGGGAACTCTACTCCACACAATAGTGGTTGCTACCCTTCAAGCAGGACCACAGCTGAATCCTTACCCAGAGGGAAGAAAAACAGAAGGAGCAAGAAAACAGCATATACCTGCTAGATCTGCCTCTCTCTGTCTCCCCGTCTCTGTCTCTGTCTCTCTCCATCTCTCTCTTACCTAGGGACAAAGCAAACCTGCTTTCTTTCTTTATGAAGTACCACTTTAAACCAGTTATTCCTTTCTTCCTTGGGGGAATGGAAGTGATCCATTGAAAATATAATACTTCACCAAATTTCAGATCAGTTTTAAGTTAGTGTTTTTTTAAACTAATTTCCTTCCTTCCTTCCTTCTTTCCTTCCTTCTTTCCTTCCTTCCTTCCTTTTCTTGTCTTCTTTCCTTCTATGGGGAAACTGCCTCTACTAGTTCACAGCAACATTTGTTCTCCAGTGAGAAGTCACTAAATTTGTTCAGGGTCATGTAACCAGTTAGAGAGGTAGGACCCGAGGACTCTCTGCCTCTAAAGCCTAGTCTATCAACTATACACATTGACTATTAGGTCAATTTTTTTAAGGGTTAATAATTTTTCAAGGATGACATCAACTAGAAGTAGAGCATGACCACTTCATATAAATATTGACCAGATAGTCTCCTATCATTTAAATAAGAAACACTCATTGCCTTAGTTGAAACTTCTTTGGAGTGTCTTTAGTCACTACCTTTAGTCAGAAGAAAGAAGAGGCCCTCTAAACCTTACTTTGAGAAATAATTACAACAGTGCAACCCATGAAATATGCCACAGATGTAACCTGTATTTCACTCACTTTGGAATGTACAGCAGTTAAAGTTCACTTCCTAGGGGTATTTTCAACCATACAATTCAGCTCAGCTGTTACATCGCCTGTCTTAGTTCATTCAGTGCCCCATCCTGCTTGACTACAACTTTTAAAGATCTTCAGTTTTCACCATGCTAATAGATCAAGAAAGCAACATATATTGAAATGATGAAATATTTTATTGAGACAATTAAATAATAAATCATGACTAAACAAAATCATTCATGTTCCTAAGTATCAGAATGTTCCTTTCCCTCAAATATTTACCAAGCAGTCATTTCCAATGTTCATGCTTTAATATGGAGAGAAATTTATACTGATAATAGCTGCCATTCTTCTTCATCTACAGTCATCCCCCTTCCTTTATGTACACATCTCCTGGGAATGAGAGACCTGGAAAATTTCTAAAAAGCAAAATTGAATCCAGGGATATTAGAAAAATGCCATCCAATTACCATTGGAGTTGCTTCTGTTACAGTCTTTCCCAAATAACAATTTGTGATATCAGCTCAACTACATATTGTAAGGTGGTGTCAGTGTCAGAAGAGAAAAGGGGACATGCATGAGAGATATTGTAAAGGTAGAAACAACAAAACTTGCAAATGATTGTATATAGGGGGTGTGAGAGAGCAAAGAGTCAAAGATCACCCATTTGTTGTGAGTCTAGGTGACTGGGAGCATGACAATATTCTCAAGAGCAATGGGAAAGTTAGGAAAGGGGGAAAAGATTTTGGGTGAAAAATAATGAGTTCAGTTCTGGACATGATGAGTTTCAGATGTCTATAGGACATCCAATTTTAGATGTCTAATAGGCATTTGGAAATGTGATACTAGAGGTCAAATAAAAAGTTAGGATTGGATAATAAAATCTGAGAATCATCTTGATAGATATAATACATCCATGGGAGCTGATGGTCACCAAGTGAATATTGTAGAGGGATAGATTCTTGAGGGACTCTCAGGATAGACCCTTGGGGGACAATCATGGCTAGTAAATACAATCTCAATGAAAACTCATCAAAGGAACCTGGGAAGGTGTAGTCAGACAGTCACAAGAAGTAGGAAAGTAGTTTCACAAAACAGAGAGATATTAGAGTATCAAAGAAGAGGGTGATGTACAGTGTCAAAAACTGCAAAGAAGTCAAGTAGGAGAAAAGTCCATTAGATTTGAAAATTAAGAGATAATTGGTATCTTTGGTAAAAGCAGTTTTAATTGAATTATAAGGTCAGAAGCCAGATAGCAAGTGAGTGCATTGATTTTTAGATAGCTTTTTTTTAAAAGGAGTTTAACCATGAAAGGAAGGAGAAATATATGATGATAACTAGTGAGGATAGATCAAGTTACGCTTTTTGGAGGATAAAGGAGAAATAGAAGTGTTTGTAGACAGAAGGGAAATAGCTAGTACAGAAGGTGAAATTGAATAATAATGAGAAAATTAGAATAATAGAGGGAACAATCTTACAAAGAATGCAGGATGGAATAGGATGACTTGTCTATAGAGAGGGCCTTGAATGAGCAACAAGACCTCTTTCAATGGGAAGGGGGTAAAGGAAGAGATATTGGGGAAAGATATTTGAGTGATGTGAGAGGAGGAGGAGATTAGAGGGAGCTCTTGGTGAATACAATCCATTAGATTGTAAAATCCTTGAGGGAAGGAATGGCCTTTTGCCTCTTGTTTGTATCCCCAGGGCTTAGCACAGTGCCTACCACACAGTAGGCATTTAATAAATGTTGATTGATCGATTGAATAGTCTTTTTTCATGGAAATATGAGGCAAAGGTCTCAGATGGGAAGGTACAGAGAGGTTTGATGCTCTTCCTAAAAGGAAAGAAATAATCAGGTCTTCTGAACACACACATCAGGAATACTCCCAGAGGTTCTAACAACTGTATTAGTGTCACCCAATTACATTCACAAGAGGACTACTACTTCTATCTATCTTCTAATTAATCTTTCTGATCCAGGTAATATTGTGTTATAGAATTCAGAAATACAATGGTTATTTTTATCTATTAATTTGCACAATAATTTCCCCCCATTTCTCTAATCATAGAAAGATGGAGTGAAATGGAGCGTTTTCATTAACATTAACATTCAGTAACATTAATTTCCCACAAAAAATAGCAGCCTAAATGAGAGCCAGACTGTCTAGTTCCTATATATCTATACCAGCAAAACTCTGAAATTTGCACTATACCAAATTATAATCAAGAAATCCAATGACAACTCATAGTAAGTGATAGCTGCTACTCCAGAACTAAACAAAAACTAACCTAGAAGCCCTCAAGCAATAGGGAAGGGAGCATTCCAGATCCAACTATACTTGGAAATAAGCATCTGCAGGCAAAACAAACTTCCTATTCCTGAAGGCTTGATGAAGAGAGTAAAATGAAAGAACTCAAATCTAAAAAGGTGCCTTAGATTGCCTCTTAGACAGCTGGGGAATGATTGAACAAATATATGTGAACACATGCATGCATGTGAATGAAATGAAATGTTATTTGCCTGGATAACATGATCTGTTGCAGGGTGAAATGGGAATCAGGAGAACAATTTATAAAAGGACAGCTACATTGTAAAGGTAAAACACTGAAAGACTCAAAAATTCTGATCAATGCAGCGTTCAACCAAAAGAGCAGAAAAGCAAGGGGTAGGTGGCTGGAGGTAGGTAGGGAAGGGATGGTAAACACATGGTAAAATGGGAAAGTCTGGAGAGCCCATAGTTTAGTAAGATAAGGAAGGAGCTGGCCTCATCGCTTTCTCAAAATGGAAGATTCAAGAGGATCTCACCAATCAGAGGACATGGCTGCAAAACAAGAAGGATCTTCCATGGTGAGAAGGCTACTGAGTCATGTAACAGTAGTCAGGAAAGTAAGGAGTAAAGCCAGGAATGGAGTGAAAGAATGAGCATGGGCTGGCCTGGTTACTTACTCAAAATGAAGATTCCAGCAGGAACTCACCAATTAGAAGGTGAGTTCTCCCATGGAGGTGGCTTTGATCTATTAGCTGTATCATAGCCTATACTTACTAAAAGAATGCTTGCTATGTAACTGATCTTATTGAAACTTCCAAAGATAATCTAAACATGAAGCCTTTCCTAATCCTACAGTTAGTAATTTTCTCCTCTTGTTCTTATGACTACTTTTTTTTTTTGATCAATATCCAACCATGTCTCCAAAGGACCTAAAATGAAGCAAACCTCCTCTCGCCAAAAAGGTAATGAATGTGAGGTGCCAAAAGACATGAATATTTTTGGATGTGGCTATTGTATAGATAAATTTTGCTGTTTTTTTTTCTTACTCCCCCTTTGTCTCTCTTGTTGCCTCCTACTCTTTGGTTTTCTGTTCTCTTTTATGTGTTGTCCTCCCTCATAGAATGTGATCTCTTTAAAGGAAAGATCAGTTTTTCTTTTTCACTTGTACTGTACTGCCAATTCTCGCTGCTCTTTGATAATAAGGTAATAAGGTATTTGTATGCCCAGCACTTAGCACGGTGTCTGGCATACAGTAAATGCCTACGTAGCAAGGACACTTATAGTGAGGACTGTCCCCTCACTTGTAGTACAACAGTGTCATTGTATGACTTGAAAGAAGGCAAAATAGACATCTTTAGCTTCTTCTCTGCCCTCCCATTTTTCTCCAAGGGGGACTTTAATTCCTGACTGGACAGAAAGCAAGAAGTTAGGGTCAAAGCTCACCATTCTGCTCTCCTCAGAGAGAGGCGGTACTGGGCTAGAATTATATCTATTTGCTCCCTTTAATATTGTTAGTCCAGGGGAGATGAACAGGCTCTATCTAACTCCTGATTGCTGATTCTTGACTGGGGACAAGGAGAACCTCAAATGTGACATCTAAAGCTTGACCTCTTTCCCACCAGATACCAGTTCCAGAATGAACATACAGTAAATAGCAAAGAAACTCATTTATTCGTAGCAAAACAAATCATAGAAAGCATACATGGGAGAATATATACAGAAAATATAAATGAAGGTGGTCTCCCATCGAGATGAAGATGACTTAGCTCAACCAAGGGAGAAACTTCTGGTTTTCACCCAAGAGGAAAATCCTGAAGTCTCTATTGTAGCAAGCTGGGAGTAGGGATATGACAGAGACTGCCAGCTCCTCTCATGTCTTCCCAGAGTCTTTTCCTTCAATAACATGAAGTGGGATTGGTATCTTCCATCTTCCCTCTTGAAACTGGAAATCAGAAGTGACCAAAACAACTTAAGTTTGAAGAGTCCTAATGAAGACTGAAAAATGCTCTGCCCTACTTTAATCTCCACCACTGGTTCAGAAGAGTGCCTCATAACAATGAACTTTAGGACTTGGGTTACATTTAAAAATACTTTCTGACTTGGTTTCACTTGTCTTTGGGAACCTATGGCAAAATGTCTGTTACCCCCAGAATGTAGCATCAGATACAGAAGAATTGTAAGAATTAGTAAGTGATTCCTTGATATCACGCCCCACTTTTTAATTTTAATAACTGATTTTCATATTTCTTTAAACATATATAGTCCTTTTGCACAGCTGCTGGGCCTATCTTTATTTCTCCTTCTGCTTGTATTACAGTAGCAGCTGCAACAGTATTAGTTTACATTTCTAAAGCATCTTGAAGTTTATTGAATACTTCCCACTAAACTCCTGGGAAATGGCTAATGCAAGTTTCATTGTTCTCTTCTTTCAGGGAACTGAGGCTGTGAAAAGCCCAGTGCTGCCTCCATAGTCTTATGGCTAATTGATGTTGTAGTCAACTAGAATTCAAGTCTTTAGACTCAATGTCTGGGGATCATTCCACTGTAGCACACTACATTAAATTTCTGTAAGTATTCCACAATCAATCATTTAACACATTAATTCTTCATTGCCACAGCCAAATAAAATGATATCTATATAGGAGCAAATCTTTTCAAAACAGGAGGAAACAATCCCAGACCTTTACAAACCATTCTTTTTCTTAAAGAGGAGGACATCTGGAGCACCATTGGCACTGGCATTTGCTTCTTTGATTACCCAGAATGGAATCATGGAAAAAAGAGCACAAGATTTAGGGTCAGATAACACCAGGCCAAACCCTAGCTCTAATACTTATTATGTGTGGGATTTAAGTGAGTCCCTTCGACATTATGAGCCC